CCGAGCAGGATTTAATATTAACTAATTGGCTTTCCGTGTGAGTTGTCTGATGGCCACAGCTGAGGATGTCTGGCTCCAACCCCAATTAACTTAAAGGAGACTGCAGCTGCAGGTGTCTCACTCCTGAGGTGAAGGCCTTCCTGGAGATAACACAGTTCTCCTAAATTAACATAATGTATTACTTGAAAAAGTCCTGCCCAGATTCCTGCATTTTCTTGAGTATCCTCCTGCTTTGTTTGTAAGCCAGATAAATATGGGCTCCCCAGAGAAGTCTTTGGCTAACTCAGAGAATACTGTAAGAGAGTTAGTCCCTCCTGGAGCCCTAAAATCATTGCATTGTCTCATTTATTTAAGCCTTTGCCGTCCACTCGGTTGGGAGATTGCAGGCTTGATCAGCCTGCAATAACTTGGGGTTATTTAACCCGGTTTTCGATACTATTAAAGAAATACATTTCCAGGATGTGCTGTAAGTGCTTCTCCTGAAATGGAAGATAAGCAAGTTGCATAATCTGATGCCTTCACCTTTTCCCAGCCTTAATTCCTCCCTACCCACGGGGGCGCTCGGAGGACACCCCTCGCAGCTCTGTCCCTGCGGCGTGTCTCTGGCCACCTATCTGTTTACGTTGGACAAACAAGTGGAGAGGAAATGAAAGCTGAAAGAGCAGGAAAGTGGGTGACCAGGGTACAGTACTGAGAGACTTGGGCAGTGGTATCGGGCTGGGGGAAACGCCTTGGATGGGCCTGGGGATTCTTCCCTAACAGACATTCTAAGACACGTACAAATACCCCAGCCATTTTGTTTTCTTCTTAAAACAGCACAGTCCTGCATTTCCTGCCTTGGCTAGGCTTGGGAAAGGGGGAGGGTGGGGAGCAGTGCAGGAACTTCATTTGCATGGGTCTCAGTTTCCTCATTTATAAAACGAGAAGCTTAAAAGCCTAACTCAAAGGGTTATTGTGAGAATTGAGCCTGATGAAGTACGGAAACCCCTGAAACTCCTCCTGGGTGTTCATTAATCCAACAAGTGCTTCGTGGGTCCCCTGGCCCTTAGTTGGTATTTCTCGCCCCTCCATTCACATGAAGGCTTCTGCTTCCCCTCCCCCTTGCCATGTCCCTGTGAAAAGTGTCAATCGCCATGATCCGTTGATAGCAGAGGACTTCGCAGCGTAGATATTAGTGAAGAAATATAGTCCCCCATATTACTTTCCTTTGCAAGAAAATCTCTCCTTTAAAAAAATTGCTTTTCTTTTCTGGCATGGGGAGCGTGCCTGTAACCTCTGCACTCTGGGTGACGGAAGCGGGAGGATCACAAGTTTAAATCCAGCTGGGAAATACAGTGACTTAGTGAGATTTTATCTCAAAAAAAGAAAAGAAAAAAGTTTCTTTTCTTCAATTACCCCTCCTTAAACTAGCTGCTTTTCCAAGGAAATAATAAGTAAGTAAATAAGTAAATAAATAAATAAATAGAGTCAATGATTTTTTTGGCCTCTAGAAGTGCTTGTAAGTCTCCAGAAGTGCTTATCTCGGAGCTGTCCCTAGGGGGCACTGGTGAGCTGGCCGCAGGAGAAAGCGCTGACTGTAGCGCGCTGACTGTAGCAGCTGACTGTTTTACAGCAGGACCAAGATCTTCCCTCAGGTCAGCCGCCTGGCCCTGCCCATATGTGTTCGGGGTGCCTACAGCGGGGGTGTGTGGAGTTTATCCACCCTGATATGCATGAGGGATGCTGAAATGTTTGCCTGCAAATATCTCCTTAATCTGCTTTCTGTCCCATTATTAAAGACACTCCTTTTGAGTCAAGTCCAAAGTCTTCATAAATGGCTTACTAAGGGATACATTTTAACATGAATAAATTGATAAAATTAATTAGCTGCTCCTTTGTCCATCTGGACCTTTAAGAGCTCGCTCTTTCTTTTTTTTTCCTCTCTTTTTCTTTCCATGCAGGACATTGAACCAGGGCCTCCTGTGTGCTATGCAAACACTTTCTGAGGAGCTACCCTCGGATCCATTTTTTAAAGATTAAACTGGCAGGAAAAAGGTCACTCAGAACCCCAGTATAGGCAGAAGAGGCCTGAAGTCTCGGCCAGGCCAGGGTTTCAAGGCCCATCTTGAAAGTCGCCCCACTTTCACTGTTTTTGCCCAAGAGTTTATTTTCCTGGCACTCATTTAGCTTCATTTATTCGAAAGAGTGCAGACCCGGACGAGCTTCAGTCTCACTGGCCTCGGAGGGGCGCTGGCCTTCATGTTCTCACGTTCGCCATGAAACTATGAGTTAGGTGATCTCCACATTCTTTCCAGCTTAGTGCGTCATTTTATCACTGGAGCCACCACATCCTGCTTTTCCTTTCTCCTACATCCTGCTTACTGCCAGAGAAAGCCAGTGGTACAGCTAACGTCTGGGGAATGTTCTAGAAAGACGTAAAGCCAGGAGAGAGAAAGAGGCAAGGAAACAAGGGACAGAGGGCAAGGCAGGACAACCTGCTGTGTTTGCCTCACGCTGGCTTTCCCACCACCCAGGGCCCACTTGCACAGAGCTCCACAGAAGCCCGGAGTCCTGAACACTCGCAAAATGACTCACGTCTTCAGCATTCTAGCCCTAACCCAGTTGTGCTGTCGCTTTTTTCTTTTCCTCTGTCTGCAAGCACCTCTGATGCCTCAGAGCTTCGCACCAGAAGGGAACACAGCACTGAAGCAGGGTGTGAACTGGGCCTCCAGGGCTGGAATCTGAGGGGTGGAGCAAGCTTCGGGGGTCTTTGCAGCTCAGCCGCACCCAGCACAGGCCACCATTGTGTCAAAATGTGGGTCCAAGTATGTCAGGTTAGTGATTTTTTTTGGAGGGGAGGTAAGACATTTTTGTGCTATCTCTCAATTTTTCAAAGTTGTTAGTTGACTAAAACACATACAAAACCAAACAAAGGAATTCTGTGCCGGCTCACCAGCGTGTGGTGAGCCTGGGCAGCACAGCTGTGAGACTCGGTTTATAGCCCGGCACAGCTGGTCCTTTGCTGGGCACCGCCCATGCCTTTGGAGGTTTTACCCTCAACTCCTTCCAAGGCAGACCCCACCTGGAAGGCTGGCGAGCCCGGTGGACAAAGTTTAGTGGTCAGACCGAATATTTCAGTTCGTATTGGCTCAGCTGTGCTTATAAAAACATGACTTTTCTGCCTTCTCTTTGGAGTTCACTGAAATCTAATCTTAAAAAAGCTTTGAATAATATGTTGACTGCTATTTCATGTCTCTTTGTGGCTATAAAGAAACCTAAAAACAAACAAACACCCTTTATTTTATGCTAGCCGGTCTTCAGCCTTCTGCTCAGTGTCCAGAAGAAATGTTAGCTTTCTAAGCCATGATTCTTCTCTCTTTTCATCCATGTTACTTAACTGGTAATTTCACTTTCTTCAAACTTTGACCTCCAACTTAGTTTTCAAAAGTTCACAAGGTACAGTGGGATTATATTTCAAGGGGAAATGAGTTATATATTTCTTTCTTTCCTTTAGAATTAATTATATGAAAATATCTCTCATACATAACATATATTAGATAATTATATTGAGTAAATTGTAATTATCTTTTATACTCTTTGTAAGCCATAGTCTTAATTGTTAAAAGAAAAATTACGAGTGCTTAGTTAGGCCTCAGGATAGTGTATACAAAGTGAAAACATTGCCTTTGAGTGATATACGAACTTATATTGAAACCTATAAGATTGCAACATACGCACAATGCACCAGCCTCAGCCCTTTACATTTGCCCAATAAATATTTTTGATTGACTTAATGAGCATATAATGATGAAGGTGAAATGTTAAGATGATTCTATCTCAGAACAGCAAAATATACTTTAAAGAAGTGAAAGTACATAGTTCACTGTTGGAGCTCGAATCTCTCAGATGGAAAACTGAGCCCTGAGCCTGGTGTAGGAGCTGGTACACTCGTCATTCCGGTTTACTACCTTTATTTTTTTGCTGCATGAGTGCTTAATATGTTTCTTTAAACAAATTCTCTATTTTATTCTTATAACAGTATTATGAAAGAAAAACTACTATCATTGGCAAACATAAACATAATATAACTAAATTTCAGTTACATAACCTTGCTGAAATTCCTGCAGGCTGAAACTTTTCTTTCTTTGTTAGAAAGGGAGATTGTGAAGGGTTAGAAATGACAAAGCCTTATTTCCATCAAAACAAGATGTTTTCCTTGGCAGAATCGAAAGGACTGAAGGGGAAGCGAAAAGGGAACAAGGTTCTGTGTTCAAAGATGCAGCGTATCTGTGCACCATGGGACCCTGCCCTGTGCTCAGGGGATTCGGATCCAGTCACTTCCGCACTTTACCATGAGCACAGGGCAGTATGGTGGCTTTTGCCCATCTGTAAGAATGGGAATGACCTCACGCCCCAGGCTCCCCCCTGCCCGCAAAAGTAGATACCTCGTATACAAAGAAGGAGGCCATATGAAACGCTGTCTAGCTTATCCACAAAGAGAAACGAGACCTGAAACAAGAGAGGAAGCAGATGCCACAGACTCTTGGAGACGCAGGGATTGTGAGGTTAACAGGGGTAGAGACAGGGAATTCAAGCAGCTGTGGGAAGTTACCATCTTCTCTCCCATCCCAAGTCCCCTGGGGCAGGGACTGAGCAGAGCCAGAAGTCACTTGTCCTTGGTCTCGTGGGCTCTTGCAGCAGAGGGAGAGCTACAGCTCTGGCTTTGCCTTCCAAGCCTGCATTCTCTCTGGGGCACCACTCTAGTTTTCCAGCTCTGACATCCCTGCCTGCCTGCAAACCCTAAAACAGTGCTCCTAGCCCGAGGTCCGGGGCCTGTGACGCGCTGTACATTTATTACTGTTGCTGTTCTGCGCCGGTGGCGAGAAGCAGGGCTGCCTTCCTGTACCAGTTGCCCCCGGTATCTTGGCTAAGACCGGCCCCTTGTCTCCGTCCCTACGCTACCCAGCACCAGGAGACTGGTGTTTGCAGTGATTCTGGTGGCGTCCCCCGTGGTCACTCACCGCGAATCGCTTCCCGCAGCTCTCGTTACCACAGCACCCGCAGCAGTCATTGTTCTTCAGGCCCAAGAACACCAGCGCGGGGAAGATCATCTGCCGGGAAGAGAGGCACCTCAGAGGCTCTGGGGTGGCGGGGAGCACCCAGGCTGCCCCGCAGGTGAGGCGCCTCCTCCACCATGCAGGGCTTGTGGGCTCAAGGAGGACGACAGGGACCCACAGCCCGCCCGCAGGGTAAACAGGTGTCACTGAGGACTGGGCTGCCATGTGGCCTGAGCGATCCTGGCTTCAGTGAAGCAGGACTGCAAGAAGAGACACCCTGCTTTCCCATTTAGATGGAGGGTTAGGACAAGCACAAGAAACTTGTCCTTAGTGGTCATAAAACCGAGACCCCCACACACCCACCCCACAGGTTCCCAACTCCATTGACAACAAGGAGTAAGGAAGTCACTGGGGCCCAGTGGAGAGGGCTCCTCCGACATACGCGTTGCTTTGAGGCTTTAAGTCAACGCATTTTCTTAGAATCACTGCCTTTTGTTTTAAAAACTCTTTTGGCATTCTCTTGCAATAAAGCAGTTATGTGGCCTTCAGTCTGGTTCATGGAACTTGGGTGTCCCATGTACCAGCCTTAGCTTGGGGATTAGCTGCTTAGTAAATCGGCTCGTTCTTGTCAGCTCTGAACAGAGAGGAGACCTAAATGCCTGGATTTTGTTAGCTTCCAAATATCCTGTGGCTCTCCCCAGTGAGTACCGATTTCACAGGGACAAGAGAAGGGGGAATCTGCTTTGAAGGTCTCCCTACTTACCAAGACCCCACTTCCTAATATTCCTCCGAAGTACCAGACCTCTTCAGACAGGTTGCTGTTGTCATCGATCACTTTTCCTCCAGGGAAGAACAGCAGGACGTTAGCCAGGAAGCCAAACACAGCCAGGGGGATGAGGGTGCCCCCCAGGCACTTGGCGCAGCTCCCAGTACACATGCTGGGCCCCCGCAGGACGACACTCTGCTCCTCGCTGCCCCCTCCCGGGTCTCCTCAAGGCTTTGGCTGGAGCGTGCCAGTGGTTGTCCCCACTTCAGTCGGTATTTTGGGACTGAGATCCAGATCTCTGTGACTGTGTCCTTGGAATTGCTTTAGCCTCTCAACTGCAGCGGGCCCTTGATGGCAACGCACACTTATATATTTTTTTGCACCCCCATAAATGAGATTACGTTCAGCGCATTACGTTCAGCGCAATCGCTCAATCGTTTTGCCATGGAGACCAATAACCTCTGTTAATAATCCACCAGCACAGACAAGACACACTGCTGCGGTTGAAGAGCAGGCTGGAAAGACAGTTTGGAACCACTGCACCTTTAATCTGACAGTGCCTTGGTCTAAATAAAGAAAGATTCTTCTGGGCTCCTTATAAATCACTCGTATAATTGGATTACATCCTGGTTACAGTCATTCTCCCAGTACTTAATGGTCTCTAGTGCATGTCTTTGGTCTTTCTGCTGAAAGCCAGGAATGCAGGGTTATCGAAAGGAGCTTCTGTTTCTCTCAAAATGAAAATAATTTGATGGTCTAGTTGGATATCATTGAGCTTAGACCTACAGACTTTTTAAAAGATAAAATCGGGGCTGGGGATTTAGCTCAGCGGCAAAGCGCCTGCCTGGCAAGCGGAAGGTCGTGAGTTCGGTTCCCGGTACCGGAGAAAAACCAAAAAAAAAACCAAACAAACAAACAAACAAAAATAAAAGATAAAATCAGAATAAATATTCATTTTATCGCCTGATAGCTGTATTTCTACTTGCTACTCAAGTAATTAAGTTCCATGTTCTTCCCTATATGATATCATGGAATTGTTCAGCTTCTCTTTCATACAGGAGTAAAAACTGCATTGACAGAGGCTAGGGGGAAAGGTGGATCAGCACGGGGTACAGGAGGAGAGGAGAGATATTTCACTGGGGGCAGAGAGGACAAAGCTGAAGAACAGTTAGAGGTCATGGGAGGCAGTAAAATGTGCCCTTATCGGGACATTTGCCAGTCTGCAGGAGAGTGATTCAGTTATTAACTTGCTCAATAACTGAGCACTTAGGAAGGGCTCTGCCACGCCTAGACCCTGCCTGGTACCATGATGGCAGTGACGCCACAGGCTGAGGGCCAGAGTGCTGAGACTGTCAGGATTCCCTCGGAGAGTGTAGAGGTCAGAATTAAGGTAACAGACAAAAGTTTAGAAACACCTTTTTTAGTATATGTTTGCACTACATAGTGAATATATTTATTGTGGGGAGTGGGTAAATGTATGGTACAAGTTTTTTGGGAATCCAATGTTTGCAAAATAAAAAGCAAGTGATATGTAATCATGGTGAAACCTGCCCCAGGGGAGCAGGACACTGAGCTCTGCCAGTCTCTGGGGCATTGGACAGGGGTGCTGCGGGAAGACTCAGGAGTCAGTGCAGAGGGACACTGAGGCTCTGAGTGTCTGCAAGATGTATCCTGCTTGCCCTATAATTCCACTTGGTGATCTCTGGAGCAGAGTCAGAAAGAAGAACTCAAGTGTTCCTTGAGCACACGGGACATGCCAAGCATAGAGGAGCCCTTTCGGTGCAAATCACCACCGCAAGGAAGGTGTCATGCCTCTTCTATGGGCAAAGACACTGGCTCAGCGAGGCTGAGGGAGTTTTGTGAGGCCGTTCTGGTACAAGGGGATGAGCCGGCAGTTTAAATCAACACCGTCATGCCGATATCCACACTATGGTGTCTCTAATAGATTTTTCCCTCTTAGAAACAAATGAAAAAATCTTTTCAATATAAACGATAGAGTAGTTCTGTGTTTGAAACAGATGTTTCCTTCTGAGCAACACCAGAATAGGACTATTTCTTACTACAAAATAATTTGTGATTTTCTTTTGGTAGAAAAGTCAGATATAAGGACAAGTGGGAGGAAGAAAAGAGAGGGTGACCTGCAGCACATACGGACGGTCATCACTTTGCTGATGGTAGTTTTCTGACACCCTAGCAGGTGCCTGGTCCTCATTCATAACCCATCAGCTTTTGGAAAGAAGCCTTGGGAGTCAGATCTCCAAAGGAGGCAAAGGCTCTATGGATATCGAAGAGCACCACCTCGGAAGTAGGGAGCTCCTCTTTGGGAACCAGATAGTTTGTTTCTTTATCCAGAGACTATGCATTTTTCTCCCAGGAGTTACCATCATGGCCTTTGGTTGACCCTCGCCAGCACAGCCCTGATATCCTACACTTTTCAGACCACCTGCTGGAGCTGTCTGTCTGTCTAATCTGAATGAGCAGAGGAAAGTAAAGGATACCCTGGACCACACTTCAGTCCTCTTTTGACGGTGCAGTACACGAGTAACTTAGATGGAAAACCTAAGCGTTTTCTTTCCCGTCTAGTGAAGGGGAAACTCTGAATGACCATCATTCTTCTGGAATGCCCTGGTCACTTGAGACTCCAAACATTTGGATAGTGACTAACTCATTATTTGTTCAGCTATTAATTGTGCCTTCAGACCCTCAGCAGGAAGTGGAACACCTAATCTGGAAAGGGGTGGGGGAAGGAAGGGAAAATTCACACTCAGGGTTTGGACTCAAGGAACTAGCGGGCATGATTTATGCTGAAAAGTCAGTTTCTCCATTTGATTTCAGAATCTGACACACAAATAAAGTCCAGTGCCGCTGTTTGGCCCAGAGGGGTACTGTGGAGCTTCTCCAACACACGGCTCAGTACAAAAGGGCAGAGCTGTGACCTCTAGGACATGCGTGAGCAATGGCTGATAACTCCAGCCAAGTGATCTGCCCCGGTATTGATCTGTTTGGGCATTCTCCTGTGTTGCCGTGGTTATATGTGGAAAGTTAACTCTTAACAGGAACTCACTCCCCAACCGTGCTCCATAAAGTAAAACACCACTGAGTCTTTCGTCTTCTTTTTACTGTTGAACACAGGCATGGATTATACAGGAGACTTAAGTGTAGAAATTCGTATCATGGGTTTAAAATGCGCAGCCCTCCATACAGGCTGACTAGGCACTCCCTTGTGTCTCTCCCTCATTGCCTCCTTCATGCACAGAAATTTTTATTTTTTTGAGACAGGGTATCACCAACAGGCTGAGGGTTCTTTTGTTTGATTTGCATAATAATTTTGAGCGGTAAAGTGTAGCTCCTTTTTTTCTTTTGGAGGTACTAGAGATTAAACCAAGAGCTTTACATATGCCAGGCAAATATGCAACTCCTAAACCACATCCCTGGCCCACTTTAGTTTCTGAGACAGGGTTTTGCTAAGTTACTCAGGCTGACCTTGAATTTGAGATCCTCCTGTTTCAGCCTCTCAAGTAGCTGAGATTATAGGTGTGCACCACCATGCTCGGCAAGTGTCACTTTTTTAGTGTTAACAGTCTTGAGCTTTCCATTCTAGAGATTATCTACTGCCAGTGTTAGTGACCCTCAGCCACTGCCCTGGCAGCCAGAGCCAGCAGCTATCAGTGGGCCTTGGAGCTCTCCCAAGGCTGGCTTTTGGCAGTTCTCCACTGCTCTCCAGCAGCCCTGGTTTCTGGCTGCTTTGGTGCCAGTGGCCTTTGGTGTTACCAGGTCAGCCTGCTCTACTTGAGAGAAATTGTGGACAGATAAAAATATGTGCTCTGAACCAGGACTTATGCTGCAGCAAAAGAAGTGCCCAGACTGAACCTAATAAGATTATGGGGAGGCTGATTGTGTAGGATTTAATAAAAGGTGGGCTTGCACATATGTGGTGGCAGACTTTCTGATCAATCATGGGGAGGGGAGGGCACCTCCTCAACCTGGTTGGGGATGGCTGCGGGGCCATCCAGAAAGCTGCAGGTAGACTCATCAGGGATGGACCCTTGGCCAAAGCAAATGTCTCCCAGAGTGGCCGTGGGGCATCTGATGTAGCCAGGGCTGGACACAAGGCCCTTGAGGCAGCTGTGGAGAAAAGATGAAGAAATAAGTGTCTCTCGGGGGGCATCAGGCACTTCCCTCCTGTCTCAGACGGTCTCGCTAATGTTTTCCAGGCTGGTCTCAAACTTCTGGTCTCAAGTGATCTTCTTACCTGAGCCTCCAGAAGTTGGATTACAGGCGCGCACCCGGCTAAAGAAGAGAAATGTTAACACTGCATTTTTTAATGTCCATGAGTCTGACTTCGTGTAATTATGTATTATTCTTTTGGTCTGTGCTTTTGCATACATATTTCCCAATTATTTGTTAAATTATTTTTCCCAGTCAGCTTTGCTTTTTAAGAAATTCACAAACATTAAAAAAAAACATGATCAGGAAAAAAGCAAGTGAAATCAAAAGTGGTTTTGCCAGTAATCCCAGTGCTCTGGTGGCTGAGGGAGGAGGACTGCTGGGGGATGAGGCCAGCGTGAATTACATAGAAAGACCCTGTCTCAAAACCAAACAACCCCCTCAAAAGTGAATTGTATTAAATTGTTTAAAGTATTGTATCAATTAGCTTTTGTCAGGGCCAATTTTAGCTTTCATACATTTATTGTTTTGGCATATTTACTGACCCCTTTATGTTAAGTACTAGAGAGGCATGTTAAAAGGACGGAGCTTTTAAGAACAAGAGGATAGATATTAATAATGCATAACATATTTGCTACTTGCTGCTGTGGTTGGAATGTGTCTTTCAAAAGTTCATATGTTGAAGTACAGACAAGGACTTTCTGACCAGAACCCCAATTGCATAGAAAATAGTTCTGGGAATCATATCAAAGGGGATCATATATAACTTAAAAGCTTCTGCACAGCAAAAGAAGCAACCAACAGAGTAAAAAGAAAACCTACCGAATGGGAAGAAATTTTTACCAGCTATTCCTGGGACAGAATGTACTTAGAATGTATAAAGAACTAAATCAATCAATCAATCAATCAATCAATCAATAAACCTCCCAAAATGAAAAACCCAATCAAAAATGGGTTAGTGAAATTAATAGACACTTCACAGAAGAAAAAGTACAAATGGCCAATAAATATGTGGAGAAATGCTCAATACTGCTTGCCATTAGAGAAATGCAAACGAAAACAACCCTGAAATTCCACCTTACCTCCAACAGAACGGCAACCATCAAAACAATCACATGATAACAAATTCTTTTGAGGCTGTGGGGAAAAAGAAACCTTCTACGTTATTGGTAGGGATGTAATCTAATATAAATACTATGGAGATCAGTATGGAGATTCTCAAAAATCTAAAACTGGAAT